CTTAACCAAAAAAAAAAAAAAAAAGGTCTGCACTTACTGGCTCTGGCAGCAGCAATCAGGGCCTCTGGGCACTCATGGCAGAGCCTCCCCACCCCTGTGCAGCATGGGGCAGTGGGGATTGCCACCCCCCAACCTGGCACGTGTGTGGCAGCTCCCTCATGGTGTGGGTGCAGTGTGGCTCAGCAGGGCACCCCGTGCAGGGCAGCCACTGCTGGGCTCTGAGTGACCGCTGCAACTGGTGAGTGCAGGCTTTTTTTTTGCTTTTTGCTTTTTCTTTTTGTGCGCCTTTTTTTCATTTTTTGTTTTGTTTTGTTTTTTTGTTAAAGTGCTGGGAGGTTGGTGCCAGGCAGGGCAGCTATAGGTGCTTCCTCCGTGACTCCCCCTGCCCAGGGAGAGGCAGGCATAGTCAGAGGAGCCATGGGAGAACCTGCAGCCATCCAGCTATGCCTGCCTTTCCCTGGCCAATCCAGATTTCCTAATCTTTTCCGAATCTTTTCTGAATCAATTTGGATGCTTCAAATCGATTCAGAGATTTTAATGGGTCTCCTGATTTGATTTGGATTTGGAGATTCAGCTCCCAAATTGGGCTGAATCTCCTCCAAATTGAATTGGTGACCAAAGCTTCGCACAACCCTAGCTTATACCTCTCAAGACTGTTAGGAATGTAAGTGACAATAAGCTGGCTGATATTTTAACTCCCTCTGCCTCAGTTTATCAGTCTGTGAAATGGTCATGATATCTGCCAGATTGGGACATTTGAAGTCTGTTAATATTTATTAATTGCTATGAGACCCTTTGAGAAATATATTGGATTTGTAAAGAATGTTACATGCACATGATTGGTGTTTTGCAACATGCTTAAATGTTGTTCTAGCACTGAGGAGCACACTCTTGATTTTTGATGGAGACAAAGGAGATGCAGAAAGTGGAAATCATCTGAAGCCAAAATATTGTCAGATTTATAACCAGTCATTGGTACTCAATTGAAAGAACATTTGAAGAAGAGATTTAGGAATTAAGAGTGACGTACTAAGCACAAAGTGTATATTATCTAGAATTCATAGATTTCATAGACGTTAGGGCTGGAAGGGACCTCAAAGATCATCAAGTCCAGCCCCCTGCCCCAGGAGCAGGAAGTCAGCTAGGGTCAAAGGACCCCAGCAATATAAGCATCCAAGCATTCCTTGAATAAGTCCAAAGCCTGCACCACATCTGTAGGGAGTCAATTCCGGGTCTTGGGGGCTCAGACAGTAAAGATATTTCTTTCTTACGTCCAGCCTAAAACCATCTTGTAGGAGTTTATGACCATTGGTCCTTGTTTTTCATTGGGGAGCTCTGGTGAACAGATGTTCTCCCAGATCCTGATGTACACCCCTTATGTACTTATAAGCAGCCACCAGGTCCCTCCTGAGCCTGCGATTTTCCAGACTGAAGAGTCCCATGGTTCTCAGCCTCTCTTCATAAAGCCTATTCTCTTGCCCTCTAATCATGCACATGGCTCTCCTCTGGACTCTCTCAAGCTTCTCAACATCCTTCTTGAATTTCAGAGCCCAGAATTGGATGCAGTACTCCAGCTGCGGTGTCACCAAGGCTGAGTACAGCGGGAGGATGACATCTTGAGATTTACTTGAGAAGCATCTATAGATGCAAGCCAGGGTTTTGTTTGCTTTACCAGCTGCGACATCACATTGATAGCTCATGTTCATCGTGTGGTCAGTCATGACCCCCAAGTCTCTTTCAGCAGTGGTGCTAGCAAGCATAACACTGCCGAGCCTGTAAGTATGCTGCAGGGGTTTTTTCCAAGGTGGAGTACCTTGCATTTATCAGTATTGAATGTCATCAGGTTTGTGTCTGCCCACTTACTAAGCTTATCCAAGTCAGCCTGGATCACTAGCCTGTCCTCAGGTGTGGATGCTATGCCCCAAAGTTTAGTGTCATCAGCAAACTTAGCCAGTGCACTTCTAACACCAGTGTCCACATCATTGATAAAGATGTTGAAGAGAACTAACCCAAGGACAGAGCCTTGGGGGACACCACTGGTTACAGAGCGCCGTAATGACTCGTTCCCACTGCCCACTACTCTCTGGGTCTGACCTCGGAGCCAATTTCCCAGCCATCGGACTGTGGTGTAGCCAAGGCTGCAGTTGGCCAATTTTTCCATGAGGAGGTCGTGGGACACCAGATCAAAGGTTTTTTTTAAAGTTCAGGTACATGACATCAATCTCTTCTCCCTTGTCCAGGTGATACGTCACCTGGTCATAGAAGGAGATGAGATTGGTCAGGTAAGACCTACCTGTGACAAACCCATGCTGGCTATCCCTCAGGATGTTGCCCCCAGCCAGCTTATCCAGAAGGGTGTCCTTGATAATTTTCTCAAGAATCTTACCAGGGATTGAGGTCAAGCTGATTGGCCTGTAATTCCTGGGATCTACTTTCCGCTGTTTCTTGAAGATGGGTACCACATTGGCTTTCTTCCAGTCTTCAGGTACTTCACCTGAGTGCCACGAATTTTTGAATATTTTTCCCCATGGTTGGGCTATGGCGCCTGCCAGCTCCTTGAGTACCCAAGGGTGTAATCTGTCAGGACCAGCTGACTTGAAGGTGTCCAGCCTCTCAAGGTGATCCTTTACTAGATCAACACCGATGCTGGGTATAAATATGCCCTCACCCTGGCTGTCCCATGTCTTGCCAGGCAGGGCGGTCCCATTGGATTGATGAAAGACCGACGCGAAGTACCCGTTAAACAGGTTGGCCTTTTCCTGGGTGTTGGTTATCAGCTGTCCCATTTGATTCAGCAGGGATCCAATGTTACCCTTGCTTTTATTATGACTCCCTACATATCTGAAAAAGGACTTTTTGTTGTTCTTGATACGTGAAGCCAGATGGAGCTCGGTTGCAGCCTTGGCTTTCCTGATCCGCTCCCTGCAGGTATGGACCAGTGCTGAGTACTCCTTCTTGGTGGTAATTCCAACCTTCCATCTGTTATAAGTCTCTCTTTTGAGGCGTAGGAGGTCCTTGAGTTCCTTGCTGAGCCAAGGGGGTTGCTGTGCCGTTTTGCTACCCTTCCTTTGAGATGGGATGGCCATCCCTTGTGCTGTCAGGATCATTCCCATGAGGAGCAACCATTCCTCTTGGACTCCTCTTCCTGTCGAGTCATGGTCCCTTAGGGCCCCCTGAGCTTGTTAAAGTCAGCTTTCCTGAAGTCGAGGACTTCAATATTGCTGACTGACTTGCCATCTTTGCAATGGATAGTAAAGGGGATCAGCTCGTGGTCACCATCACCCAGCTTTCCATTGATTCTTAGGTCACTGACTATGTCATCCTCTTTGGCCAGTACCAGGTCCAACAATGCTTTACCTCTCATCAGGCCATAGACTTCTTGAGTCGGGTAGAGCTTGTCCATGCACGTGAAGAAGCTTTGCGACCGATTGGATTTGACCGAGTGCTCTTCTCGTGAGATGTCCAGGTACTTGAAGTCTCCCATGACAACCATGCACCGATACTGTGCAGCCTCAGCCAGTTCCCTGGTGAATTCCTGGTCCAGCTCTTGTTTCTGGTTAGGAGGTCTGTAGTAGACTCCTACCATGATGTCCCCTGAGCCACATTCCCCACATATTTTGACCCAGAGAGACTCCAGTTGTCCCTTCTAGGTGGCAATGTCAATTTGGAGGGACATGTAGCTGTCCTTGACGAAGAAGGCTACACCCCTCCCCTCTTATCTGCACAATCACGCCTGTACAGGGTATAGCCATCTATACC